GTTCAGCTCTTTAGTATCTTACTTGCGTCAGAGAGTTGGACAGGAAATAGGGTTGACAGAGAGTTAATGCCTTTGAGCTGTGGTGCTGAAGAAGAGTGTTGAATATACATGGACTGCTAGGAGAACAAACAGGTTTGTCCTGGAGAGGGTTAAACCAGGCTGTTCCTTGGAGTCACGGATTCTGAAGCTTCGTCTGACATACTTTGGGCATGTTGCAGGAGGGACTGGTCCTTGGAGAGGGTCATCATGTTTGGGAGAGTGGAGGGGTGGCGCAGGAGAGGAAGACCTTCAAGGAGATGGTCTGTGACTGTAATGGTGGGAATGAGTGTGTTTGCGACGGCGAGGCTGGCACAGGATAGAACGGCATTTAGGGCTCTTCTACATAGGGTCGCTATGAGTCGCAAGAGACCCGATGGCACATAACAAAAACAAGCCCTCCGCGCCTGCGCAATCAGGCTCAATAGCGTCTTTCTCACCGGCGTAGCCCGCTCGGGCCATACACAGGTCTCCGGCCGCTCCGCGCCTGCGCAGTCACACACTACAGCGCCCTCCACTAGCGCCTGCGCACTGAGGCCCGCTCGGGCCCGCTCGGCGCCTGCGCACTCACACACCACAGCGCCCTCCACTAGCGCCTGCGCACTGAGGCCCGCTCGGGCCCGCTCGGCGCCTGCGCACTCACACACCACAGTGCCTTCCACCGGCGCCTGCGCACTGAGGCCCGCTCGGGCCATACGCCCCACGCCTGCGCACTCGGGCCCCAGAGCTCATTCTCTGCGCCTGCGCGCTCGGCCTTCTAGGGCCCAGGTACCCGGTGTTGGGTGGCGTGGTGCGGGCAAGCCTGTCACCTGGATTTATACACACGCGCCTGGAAGACCCCAAACGCGGAAGGAAGTAATTTCCTGCTGGCTCGCACGCCCCGCGTCAGCAGTGGGCGCTGACGTCATAGCGCGGCGACCCGCGCGTTTGTGTGTCATCACGCCGCGCCGCGCGCTTGCTTCCGGCCGGTCATGGCGGAGGTGGGGCGGCTGCCGGTGCCCTGTCCCGGCTCGCGGCTCCCGGCGGGGTTCTGGGCCGCGGTGACCGTGTGGCTGGAGCGGCCGCAGGTGGCCAACAAGAGGCTGTGCGGCGCCCGCCTGGAGGCCCGTCGGCGCGCTGTCCTACCCCGCGCCGAGGCCCGCCGACCCCGGCCGAGCGCCGGCCACGACCCGGGACCGGAGAACGGGCGGGTGTCCGCCCAGGGCCGACCGAGCCCCGGGCCGCGAGCAGGACCCGACCCAGAGGAGTCCCGACCGGACACCGGGCCGGAGTCCCCCCATGGCTGCCCAAGCCCCGGGTCGCGAGCAGGCCTGCAGGAGGACACGGGGTGCGGGCCCGGGGCGCCGCGGGAAGGACCCGCTTGGCCGGGCAGGCCGGGGTCCCCGGAGCCCCTCTGCCCGTCCTCGGCCCTGGGTGCTGTCTGGGAAGACTTGGCCCGAAGCCTGGACTTGCTGGCCTTCCTCGCCCGCTCCGAGGCCGGCCCTCCGGAGGCCGTGCGCCCCGTCGACGTGGTTCTCAGAAGCGTCATCCCGAAAGCGAGCCCCCGGTGCCCGCTCCCCGCTCCCACGCGAGAGGTGGTGGTGCAGGGTAAGTGCCTTGACAGCTGGCGGGTGCACGCAGGCCCGGCGGCGATGGGCGTGACCCTGCGGCAGTGGACACGCCCCGAGCTGCCCGGGGAGGATGTAGAGCTTGGTGGCCTTGTTGTCTGGTCGAGTGCGGTGCTTGGTGACTGTGAAGAGCAGGGCAGAGGCCTCCCCTACCCTGCGCCATCCTCAGCGTCTCTGACACGGTGCAGCCCACTGCTGCAGGTGGTCTGCCCACCGGCTCGAGGGCCTTCATCTCTTTCTCTTTCCCTGCCCCTTTCCAAACCCGATGTCCCTCTCCAGGACCCCCACCTCCTGGCAGCATGCCCGAAGGATGCGAGGTGAAGCCTCCTCATCTTTGCTTCCAAGGAGCACTGTGGCTGCGCCCGCTCCAGGTGCTTGTCTGTCTGTTTTCTGGAAAGCCGTGGCATTCATCACGCTTCTCCAAACACCACAACTCAGAGGCTTCAATTCTTGCATCCTTACTTATTGTCCAGCTCTTAGATACCTAGCAGGTGATGGGAAAGACCCTGGGTTGAATCAGGTGCACCTTAGTCCTCAGCCTAACATCATTGCTCCTCAGTAACTTAGAGCAGCCCCTGAGTGCAGACTTGCCCAGTGCAGTAAGTCTACTCTCTTGACCAGTGATACCAGCTGTATTGATTTTGGATCCGGGTCAGGTGAGGTCGCTGATGGTGGGATCCTAGTGATAAGGAATTGACCGCTGAGCTAAAGGCCTGAGGTTGGAGTCCAGCAGGTGAAGGATGAGCAGTCTCCTTCCGTGACATCAGCTGCTTCTCTGCTGCTGGCTCACCTGTGGATCGGCTCTGCCGTCGGTTCTGTGGATCATTACAGGGAGGTCGTGGTTTGGTCTTTGTGGACCAAGGAGTCCGTGCGTTAAGGAGCACAGGGTGGGGTGGGTGAGTGGGGTGAGGCTGGGAAGGCCATGCACTGGCACGAAGGGTGATGTGCTGGGTGTTGTTGGCCGGACTGGTGAGCACAGCGGTGGCCGTGGGGAATTCTCACCTTCACCCTTCACCCCGCCCGTCAGGGCTGCTTGTGTGTGACTGTGCTGCTGAGCACGTGTCCCTGGAGCTTCTTGCCGCACTAAGCTGGGCTAGGAAGTCTCCCTCTGGAAATTAGCCAGTGGAAGCCCAGGGGCTGCAGCGTGTGCCCTGCAGGCAGCCCCGGGACCACTCGGGGCTGCGGGTGGAATGGGTCAGGTGCTGCCAGACATGCATGCACAGACCTGAGAGACTGAGGTCGGGTGAAAAGCCCAGGCTGTGCTTACGTGCGTGCATGGAGGAGACAGGTAGGCTGCATGGAGGAGACGGGTAGGCGAGAGCTTCCTCAGGCTGTGTCCCCTTCTGGAGCCTCCGGGCCTGATGAAGAGCAGGCGAGGGTGAGGAGGTCTTGTGTGCGCTCTTGCTGGGCACGTGGGCCTGGTGATTGTAACCTGGGCTGATTGGCTCGGGCTTCCCAGGGTTTTGAGAGCGCCGCACAGCCTGTCTGAGCTAAGAAGGAGCAGCTCTCAGCTGCTGGGTTCTGGATGGACAGATGGGCAACATCAAAAGGCCTCGATTTGAGGGGGAAGTGTGCTAAGGAAATAACTACTTCCCTTTAAAGGTGCTACAGAGAAAAGCGTTGGCCTTGCTTTTGCCGAGGGTATCGTGCTGTGAAAGGCTGCTGTTGTTTTAGGTGCTGTATAGTCAGCTACCTCAGGGACCCTGTTCAGCCGATCTGAGCTCTGTCCTGTCCTGCACCGTCCTCACCACCACCTGACACACTCGAGTCGGTCTCTGCAGTCAATGTGGCAGTTCATCTTGTTGAGGGTCTTGCTGTCCTTCGCTGACCCTCCATCTTTCCACACATGATGTCCCTCTAGGGAATAGCCTCTCCTAGCAACACGCCCAAAGTATGTAAGACTTTGCCTCAGAGAGGCTCTGCCGTCTTCGCCCCTAAGGACCACTCTGGCTGCACTTTGCCCAAGATTTATTGGTCCCTGTTAGCTGTAAAAGTCCTTACTGCTCAAGGTGGTGGTGGTTCTTACATGCCATCAAGTCTCTCATGACTCTCAGCTACCCTGTGTACAACAGCTCTGAACGCTGCCCTGTCTGAGTCAGTCTCTGTCCCTGACATACCTCATCCCTTCTCCACAGTTCTCATGTCAGTCCACCTCATCCAGGCACTTCCTTCCTCTCCTGTGCTGTTCCTCCACCCTTCCAAGGACTGGTCTCTCCTGGCCCCATGCCCAAAGTGTATGAGATGGAGCTATGTTGGATGGATCTTGGCCGAAACCAAAGAGTACCAGAGGAATGCCTTTCTGTGCTTCATTAACTGTACAAAGGCTTTTGACTGTGTGGATCACAACAAGCTATGGCTGACTATGAGAAGAATGAGAATCACAGAACATTTGATTGTGCTAATGCGAAACCTACACTTGGACCAAGAGGCAGTAGTCAGAACAGAGCAAGGAAACACTGTGGTTCAAAATTGGGAAGGGTGTCTGCCAGGAATGTATTCTGTCACCATACCTTTTCAATCT